TGTGAAAATGCAGGTCTGGACTTATCAGTGACCAAGGTTCAACTTTATGGAGAAACTGGCTTAAAAGAAAGAAACTCATGCAATTTGCAGCAACATGGATGGAGCTGGAAGGAATCATGCTCAGCGAAATAAGCCAGAAAGAAAAAGAAAAATACCGGATGGTCTCACTCACAGCAGGAATCTAGAAAAACCTAAATAAGGGACCAGGAAAAAGACTAATTGCAATAAAATAAAAATCAACAAGCAACAAGCAACTATAGACCAGAGAGACACTACGGTGGGGGGCAGGGGGGGGAGAAGAGGGATTCGGGTCAGAATAACGGGGGGTGGGGATTGTATGGGGAATATAACCAAAATGAAAATGCATACATTGTGCAAAAATGAAAAATGGTGTAGGAATTATATAAAATAAAAGTTTTTAAAAATTCAGCAAATACAAAAAAAAAAGAATTTATTCACCAAAAAAAAAAAAAAAAAAAAAAAGAAGCCAATTCACGCAAATGGATTGGAATAAAGGGACAGGAAAAACTGCCTTAGGGGTCCTAGAATTTTTGGCTCCTCCTACTCAAAGATATTTCTACTCTCATCTTTTTATGGTTCAGCGGGAGACAATTTCTTTTGTTAATTAAAAGTTCAGTTTCTGTCACATGGGTAGAATAAAAAATATGTTGACTTTGGAGGTTCAATAAAATGAACCGCCTCCAACTGGGAAAAGGGCAGGAGGAGATGCTGTGGGGTCCCAAGTGGAATTCCTCATGCGCTGTTATGTCTTTGTACCTGCTGGGATTGTGTCTTGCTAAACCTGCTAGCAAATCTATGCCATAGCATAGGGTATGCCCAGAATAGCTATTTTCAAAATGAATTTGTTGAATTAACTTAATCTCAAAACACACAGAGAGGGACCCCGCTTGTTCACTTCATTGTCAAGTATTCACTTCATTGTCAATAGGGATTCACTTGTTCACTTCATTGTCAAGTATTTATTGAGTAGCTACTTTGCAACAGACACCGTTCTACTTACTCAAGAGAGTAGAGTATTTGTCATTAAACTTCCACATCACTTTTTTCTTTATCACCAATACACACCAAGAGTTGATAGCCGGGCCTCCTTGGTGGCTTAGGGGTTAAAGTCTCAGTGCTGTCAAGCTATTGCCCACCACTGCAGCATGATTTCAATTCCCAGGCAGGGAGCAACCCACATGGCACAACAGACCTCTCCTGTCTTGCCCACTGCTCCCCTCAGCAGTGTATTTCAGTCAGTCTGCCTGTTCTGCTTCCCACTCTATCTTTGTTGAATCCTCTCACACATGCCTCCCCCACACCTCTGGCCTAGACCCCAGTTCTTGTATACATAAATAAATAAAATATTTTTTTAAAAAAGAGTTGATAGCCATCTCACCAAAAGCAGTTGATCCATCAAAAGGAAATATTCTCCAGACAAATGGAGAAAACACACCAAAATGAGGACCCTGGAGTTCTAACCCAATGGGGTTAGAATTTGTATTCTCTACATGTGAAATACCAGCTATCCTTCCCAGACCTTATCTTTCTCACCAATAACATACAGACATATCGTAGAGGATCTTTAAGGCCTATTCTTACTAAAATGAAATCTAAATTTTTCCTTTAATCTGTGAACCAGTGGTTTTTAGAGTGTGATCTCTGCCAGCACCCTAGAAGATTGTCCAAATCCCAATTTCAGAGCCTACCCCAGATCTGTAGGGTGAGATTCAGCTCTCTGTGTTTTAACAGGTTCTAATGTATTCCAGAGTTTGAGAACCTCTGGTCAGGCATTTGCAGTATATTTATTAGTTGATGTGTGTATGGACGACTAAATTGTTCTTTGCTGCATTTCACTAATTATATTTTCTCTTCTCTCTGTCATACCCTTTTCTACCACTTTCTTCTCTTATCCCCCAGTGAAATCTATCTTGGTTAGAGAAGAAAACTGTTACTTTATTTTCCTTCATATCCCCAAGTATCTCTAATAACTTTATTGAAGCTTACAGACAAATATAAGTTCAGGTAAAAGAAAAAAAAAAAAGCCACCCAAAATCCTCAAAGTCTCCATTAGAGGGATGCATATTCTCCTTTTTGTGAGAATTGGAGTGAGGCAAAATATTTTGGGAATATTCTTGCGCTCTTGGGAATGGAAATTTTTTCAGTGTCATAGCATTTTCTGTTGCAGGTTAATTATTAGGTACTTATTGATGCAATGAGAGAGAGAGAGAGAGAGAGAATGAGGACTGACTGATAAGTGCTTGTAACTGAAGAAGCAACCACTAGATGATCTCCTGTTATTATCCAACTCTTCCTGCTACAAAATTCAGAAAATGATGAAAAAAGAGACAATGAAATACTGGTGCATACTCTCACTTGTTTAGCACAAACTCCCTGCTCTATTTAGAATGTTATCAAATCTAAGTTTATAAGTGGTTGTGGTTTAATATGTGCCCATTCTAGCTAACACTAGAAGACAAACACATCTGTGGACAGATTCATCAGAAATATTGTGTCACTTTTGCTAATGTGGTTCCTACAATTTGGCTTTATTTAAAACATTTAAAGCTGACTGTCTCTGAGAGAGCTGAGGATGAGCCAAAGGAATGAATGAATTTTCTATAAGGGTAGTGAAAAATAGACTCTATGTATATTCTTTCCATTCTGTCTTCTTCCTCTCCATATTTTTAACTCCTTTGCAAAAATTGTTTTCTTTAGTAATATTTTATTAAAACCTACTTGATGACTAGAAGTTGGTGATAAGTACCACTGCTGGGGTTCAACTAACTTTTTCAGTTTGAATTTGAAAGCCAATTTTAACTTTCGACGTCAGGTAACTTACTATTGCACTTAGATAGAGATAAATATAGATTTAGCCATTATTTTACATTTTGATATGGGTATCGAAGACATGCTTTACAGTAATAATTATGATTTGATTTTGAGTCAGAATAGCTTGATTCATTAATAGCAATGGATAGTATAGAAGAACAGATTTCTATTTTTGATCATTAATAGAGGAGATTCAAAGGAGCACAGAACTATTCTGATGTGGTAAGAGGATTTTTTTTTTTTTTGTCACAGGCAAGAGAAATGCCACTTCTCTTCCTCTTACCCAATATTATTGCCTATGGTGGTTAAAATTTGAGGTTGGGGGACTTCCCTATCTCCTTGTTGACTACTGAGAATCCCAAAAATCAAATCTGTTTCTCACATCGTCTCCTGACATTTCTTCCCATTTATTTTTATTCGGACATGAACTAAGACTATCATTGAAGATTAAGAATCTCAAATGGGACCCTTGTGAACCCTCATAATTGTTTTTTCTAGTACATCTTTATAAAATAAAAAAGAAGAGATAGAGGAATTAAGAAAACCTGTTTTCTCTATCTGAAACATATTACTTATTTAACACTTGGAATTATTTTTTTCTGTTTCCTCTTTCTGATGTTTCCTCTATACTGCTTAATTCTTTCCTTACTTTAATTCTCTACCTGCAGCCTCTATTTTTGCCCTCCCCCTTCTGATTTTTCAATGCATCACTTTTAATTTTCTATTTTTTTTCTTCTGTTGTCTTTTTTATTCTCCCATATTCCCACTATGACCTCCAAAGGTTTTCATCCAGAGGAGTTGTGCAGAATGAAGAGAGTGAGTATGAGAAGCTTAAGGAATTGGGAAGAGAAGAGCCGCTAAGACTGTCCTTATGTATGAAAGCATGTTGGGGGGGGGTGGGCCTAGGATGTGCGCATCAAGAGAGCTCTGCCAAGAATGGTTAAAATGGAAGCTTATTAAAAGGATGATGTGGAGGGGTGGCACTGAAGAAAACGAAGTAGAGCCAGCCTGCCAGGTCAGTAGCTAATAGCCCATGGTTTCGCTGCTAAGGAAATTAAAACTGTCGCTAATGAGCATGGTGACCACCTACTGAGAATAGAAGTGAAGGTTTCCTATTAACTCTCCTCCCTGGTTCCTTTTGACACTAGTCACCATTATTTCCTATTTATTTAGTGGCAAAATACTTGGAATGGATATTTACCAAAAAAAAAAAAAAAAAGATAAAAAAAAGTTGGAGACAATCTTCAATTCCCTGAAGAGAAGATGCAGGCAGGATATTTTCCCCCTGTACCCCCAAAACACACCTCAGAATAAGTAAGAACTGCCACACACACACACACAATAAAAATAAATAAATAAATAAAAAATAAGCAACTGTCCAGATAACTACAGTGAGGATGACTCAGACGGCGTCTCGGGGATGGTTGGTGTGGGCACTTCCAATGAATGGATCCGCTATTAGTTCTGTGGAATCAGGAGGCTGAAGCCACGTCTTTCAAGGACGCGGTTGAATTTCACGATTGCAGGGGACGAGTTTGCGTCCCGCCCGCGGCGGAGAAACAACACCTCCGCCCGCCTCGCGGGTCTCCAGGACGATGCCCCGGGGTCATCTGGTCCTGGACCAGCCCGCAGAGCCGCCCGCCGGCCCTGCGCTCCAACTCCTGCCCGCGCCCTGCTTCTTTCTCAACTGACGGGCCAGCGCGGGGGGCTCCGGGGCTGCGCCAGCGGGTGCAGCCGGGGGCCCCGTGCCAGGCGCGCGCAGACGCCGGGCGCGCGGCGAGGCGGGGGCCTCTCCAGACGCCGCCGAGGGGGTGAGGACGCGAACTTGCCCCGCGCGCCCGGGCGCCCCGGGGCGGGCGGCGACCCCCGGGAGGGCGGCGCGGCGGGGCCGCAGCGCGCGCGCGGGGCCGGGGCCGGGGCCGGGGCCGGGGGGCGGGGGGCGGGGAGCGCGCGCGTGTGCGCCGGGGCGCCGGGCGGCGGCGGCAGGAGGCGCAGGCGCGCTGCTCGCCCGTCTGCAGCCCCGCGCCGAGCGCGCCGCGTCTCGGGGAGTTGATGGCAGCACCACAGTGCGGCCGCCCGGCCGAGCGCCGAGCGCAGCCACCCGCCGCCGCCCGGGGAGCGCCCAAGATGTGGGGGGCTGGGGCGGCAGCGGCCGCGGCAGTGCCAGGGACGGGGGCGCGCAGCAGCCTCCGCTCGCCCGCCTGTGCTGACCTGCCTCACTTGCCCCCGAAGAATGTCAGCCAAGTCCAAGGGGACCCCCTCCTCGTCCTCTCCAGCCGAGGGACCGCCCGCAGCCTCCAAGACCAAGGTGAAGGAGCAGATCAAGATCATCGTGGAGGATCTGGAGTTAGTCCTGGGCGACCTGAAGGACGTGGCCAAGGAACTTAAGGAGGTGAGCGGCGCGCGGGCGGGCGGGAGTGGGGCGCCCTGCACGCGCCCGGGGCGCCGGCTCCGGTTTCCAGAGGGGAGCCGCGTTGCTGAACTCGACCAACTGTGGGAACACGCCCGCAGACGACTTTCGTGCGCCGGCGACTCCTGACAAGAGTTGCTGCACTTTTTTTTTTTTTTTTTTTTAAATCAGAAAATCAACTAGTGTCTCGAATCGCCGGGCCGGGGACGGTGCGCGCGCGTGTCCGCCCGCGGGGGCGCAGGTCGGGGAGGGGACCCCCAGGGGTGTGTCGGCCGAGGCGCAGGGAGCGCCCCGGCCCCCGGCCCCCGCGAGGTGCCGCTCCCCTGCCCTCTCGCTCCCCGGGAGTCCTCTGGCGAGGCGCACCTTGCCTGGCAACCTCTCCAACCCCGGCTCAAGGGGCCGGACTCCCGGCTCCGGTCCAGGCCGGGCAGGGCAGCCCCGGGGACGCTGCGCTCCATCTCCCCTGCGCGCCTCCGAGCCCCCTGAAAGGAAGACGGCCCTGGGGGCGCGCGGGGGTCCGGGACCTTGTGACTTTCGTAGCTCCCGAAGCATCCCCTGCTCTCCTCCCGACGCCGCTCCCGGTAACTCCGGGCCTGCCCGCCACCCCACTTCCTTCCTTGGCATTGAACCCGGGGAGCGGGGCGCGTCGGTGAGTGAGTGTGTTCAGGGTGCGTGCGCGCGTGCGGCTCGCTCCGGGTCTGGCCACTTGCGTCCTGACTCTGGGGAGCCGGGACTGCTTGGGTGGTTTCCCGCCCCCAGCCTTCCCCTCTGGCCCGGCCGGCACCCCCATCCCGGGGGAGCCGGGGAGAAGGAAGCGGAGGCCGTGCCAGGGCTGAGGCTGCGTAACTCTGGCTGCGCCCCGGGCGGGGCGAGGGCCGTGGAAAGGGGTGGGGTCCCCCGCGACCCCGGCGGGCGGCTGGGGGCGTCGTGGAGCTAGTGGCGGAGCCCCGGCCGGGGAGACACCCGCGGCCGCTGGAGAGCTGGGGCTAACTTCAGAGGGGGCGGGCGGCCGCAGCCTCGGAAAGGGAAGGGGTGGGGCGTCGTCCGGGTCCAAAATTGTCATCCTGTTTCAGGGGCCAGGTGGGAGGCGTGGAGAGTGGTTTGGGTGTCTGACCTCTGGAGATGAGCCTCCTTTATTCAAGTTCCAATCCAAATGCAAGGGAAGGAAACGCACCTCCCTTTCTTATCCACCCCCCCCCCAACACCACCCCATTAACTCCAGGAACAGGACTTTGCAAGTGTTACCCTATCCAAGTCTGTAAAAAATGCCTCGTTCTTGGAGAGGGGTGGGTTTGCCAGTGGCAAATGTCATTCCCGCAGGTTGCTCCACAGACAGAGCATAATTACTGCTGAGGTCCTGAGAGTGGAGGTGGAGGGAGATGATAGATGTGAGGCTGAAACTTGTTGGTGTTTGCAGGGCTTCTCCAAGATCATTGCCTCACAACTGGTTGACAGATGGTGAGGTTATGCATTGAAATTCGAGTCTGAAGATGCTGTTCGTTTCTTTGTTATTCTTTTATTTGACATCTTTGGCAGGCTGTGTTTTCATCTGAAACATTATGGCGTTTTAAGAAACGAACAAATTTCGGCGTGTTTCTTTTGGCAGCACGGTGCTTGCAAGTTGTTGAGGTTTCTGAAGTGGGGATGTGGAAACCTACTTCGGCACAGTCATGTTTTAAGAGGAGTCTGAGAGTAAAAGCAAGGGAGTCGATCAGGACTCTGCGTCTTTGGGCACATACTTCTTATGTTACGACTTGTCACTTCAATCCCTATTTTACACAGAATAAATGACAGGAAACTGCCCGTGCTTCTGCTTCTGCTTTGCATCATTGTTCCGTAGACATTTGGAGACCAGGTATGTGTGTGTGCGTGTGTGCATGTGTTGTGTGTGCATGTGTGTATGATGATGATGAGCCTGAGGGAGAAAATCTCCCTGTGGTGTGGCTTTTGGTTAGAATCACAAAGAAGTAATCAAGCAGTCTGTGGATCGCTCTCTTTCACTGTTTTGTGTTTTCATTTACTTGAAGATTTTTAAAGGAAAAAAATTATGTAGTTTATAAAAGGAATAGAAATGCAGGTAGAATGTACAATAAAGTAAATGAAAAAAAATCTCTCTTCCAGACAGATCTGGAGATAAAATTTGGCTTGGTGCTTTGCAAGCTTTGGTTGGCTGCCAGGGCCTGTTTGGGTTAAAATCTTTACCCCCCACCCCCAAGGAAAATTCATAAATGATAAAAGATGTGATATGATTGCTGATCATTTTTGTGTGGCTATGTCTTCCTAGGTTTGCACATGGAATTGTATATACTATGACTGAATCTCCAAACATGCATTCTTATATAATAAGAGTGCATTATTTTGAGAACAAAATATGTATAGGGCATGTTTAACCCATGATATCTTGCAGTGACCCCGCATTTATCTTTTTAAGATAATTCTGCAGGTGACCAAACATGTCTTTGATGTGGTTGTGAATGGGCCAATACCAGAAACATTGCAAATTACAAAACTTGTTGATCTCTTATATACATATGACTTATAAATGTTATTCTTTATTCATCAACCGCTACATTCAATAGTCCAGCAGTTTATAATTGGTATATAGTAAACATAAACTGTTATATTTAGAACTCAGAATCCTCCACTAGCAAGTCTGTGTTCTTAAGTTATGATATATTTTAATATGAATTAGCAAAAAGCTCTTATTAACTTGAAACAAATTAAAAAAGTGATTATGACTAGATTACTGTATCAGTCACCATATGGTGTTTGTTTTTCTTTTCTGCTTTTTCACTCTAATTAAAATGCAATATTCTTTTAAAAATATCCTGCCCTTTAACTTAGCATAACTCTGAACCAGCAACATTTTACTTTTGTTTGAAATTATTTTGAAATGGCTTTTCTTTTAAGAAGTTTTCTGAACTTCAGTCATCTGAATACTCAGGTAGTGGGATAGATTTGCACCTAATCAGTAATTGCTTTGGAATGCTTTAAGAATTAGTAACAAAACTCATTTGTCATACTGGGTATCTTTTATGGTTATTTAGTTATTAATCATTTGCTATTGTATTATTGTTTTATTCTGCACTCAGAATTTAGCAAAACTCCAAGTAACTTAACTTTTCAGAAGTCATATAGATCTCTTGGTCTTTTATATAATAATGGAAAGTCTTAAGTATAATTCAGCAAAGATACTTATTATTCAAGCAGCTACTACATTTAATATTTTTTGTTGTTGTTGCTACCAACATGAATGAGCTGTAGCTTTTGGTCTCATTGAGCTCAAAATTCTCAGTGGGCCTTTGTCCTTTCTTTGAATATCAACATCATAAAAAGACACTGCTGCTTAATGCGGCCTCATAGGCTGGTGAGACAGTGGAAACAGAATTGACACTAACAACGAGCACATGTAGGTTGATAAACCAGTACTCACTATGTGCTTGGTAGTCTGGTAAGCCTTTGGTGAAGAGAACAGAAGATTTAAAAGGTGGGAAGATATAAATTTAAGAAATTTATGATTTATTCAAGTTTTCATGGTTACTACAGATGGATCAATACAATGTACAGGGAGTTGTGCATTCACATTTTACAACCAAATATTGGAGATTTCATGAAGGATAAGTTCTCGGGGAGAAGGAAGAGTCAAAAATCAGATTTTGTATCTTTCTTCGTACTGTGAATACAATTTGGAGAGGTAAAAAGAATTAACAGGAAATCACAGTAGAATACAAGATTAATCCATATAACTTTTTTCTACACATTAAAAAAAAGGAAAAATTAATGGTGCCTCTCTGAAGTTTATGGAGAAAATTAACCATTAGCTGTCACTACTTCATTTGCTGTGAGTTGATCCATTTTTGCTAAAAAATGTAGGTAAAAAGCCATTATTTACAATGATTATCAAATAATCTGACATCTTTGCATAGCATTTTGCCTGTTGTTTTATGAATATCTTATGGATAAGCTATTTTGCATCAAATGTTGGTGTGAATATGGTAGCACAGATTTTGTTGGGTAGAGAGAGAGATTGGAAGATATTATAAACTTATCATTGCCTTGGAAAGAAAATTCATTGCTACCTTAGCCGGATTCTCTTTTCATTTAGACTAACTAAAACCTTTGCCATTTTTTTTGTAGTATTTAAGATTTTAAGTACATATATATGTTGCTTGCTTATCTTTTTATTGATTTATTCAGTCATTTAAAAAAATTGGGGGGCAGAACTTGTGAGTAGACATGACTTTCATGGAGGACCCCTTTAACATGAGTTGCTCTATGTGTGCCCTGGAATCACTCAATGATTAGACTCGATGGAGGGAAGGCATTATGGCTGTAGGTTAGAAAGTACCATGATTTTCAGTCCCTTTGGAGGCTGAGGAGACAGAATTAACAGTTATCTGTAAAACGATTTTTTTTTTAATGTTTTCCTCTTTCTAAATGTTGTATCCACTTAAAGTTCTGTAGTTTATTGCTCTAGGAAATCCTACCTAATATTTTTTGGTTAATGAGTCCATGCATTATAAAACTGATTACAAGAACAAATTAAAAAGAATAGTCTCTGGAGTATTTTGCAAGTTCTAAAGTTGTGAATGAAGGGAATTTCACAGTTCACGCAATTGTAGTAATTGCTGTACTTTTAGTATTTTATACGAAGCGTCTGCCTCCCTAAACGGAGAAATATTTATGTAATACTAAAATGCTTTTAGATTTTTCTTTTCTTAAGCATGATGGCTTAGCATGTTGCTGAAAAAGCAGAATGATTCTGAGAAGATAGAGGTAGCCAATAACTATCCTTCTCTGTCTCTGTTTCTAATGCATTAAACCATTCAATACTTAGAGAATTAGCTCATAAGAAATTCAGACAGCCTTGAAGTAATACATAGTGTGCTTCAGGTAATAGGAGAATAATACATAATAAAACCAAGTAATAGATTTCATTGTTACCTGCATTGTATTTTTTCCTACTCTTGCTGCTCTGGGAA